ATATATATATATATATATATATATAATCTAAGTAACATTTAATTACAAACACGTTAGGAAAACTAATTATATATTTAAAAACATGCTCTACTTTAGTGCGTAATACATAACACATGCATTACTTTAGATAAAAAGTCTCAGTAAGTAGTATTTTAACATGTTAAAAAAATTGACATAAGATGCATTAATTGAACACTTCGGTACAATAGTCGAAATTGAATTGTAATTAATTAATTGACAACCAAAGTTAGATGTGTGTATGTCATTGTGTCTTAAGGGAATAAATGCTAGGAAATTCTGAGCAGTTCACCAAAGCATTTTGATTAATTCATTCGTATTAATTACTTAAAAATAATTTTTATGTGCTAACATTACTAAGAATTTACTCATTAATATTCTTAAATAAGCAATGTAAACATATAACTAAAAAAATGATAGTTACATAAGGAAATTAAACAATTTGGGATACAATAATATATTCATTTATTAATTGTGATTGGTGATTTATAGTCCGATGGCTTCATAAATTAAAATAACGACAATGAGACAGAAGTCATGAAAATAATAATCAGATCGGTAGTGAAAGTAATAACTATATTTTTAACCACATAATAAATTAAGAATAGTGCTGACAATAACAGCAATAATAAGAAACAGATAATAAATACATGGCATGTTAATTTATTACTCTGCTTCTATCGTTCCCATTCATCTATGATTTATTAATTACCCACAAACATTTAATCTGTTCGTTGTTTACACCTCATATCATAGTAATATATTTTGCATATTCTGCACAATTTATGTGAGACACAATAATAATGATAAATATCATCAATAATAATAATTATTATTATAATAAATAAATACGTAAATAAATAATTGATTATGACAAGATACAAATGGCTATTAGCAAAAATATTAATGATAACAAAATATAAACAATTATAATAATGACAGTATTTACAATGATGATATTTTATTATTCACAATACATATTAATAGTCTAATTACACAAATTTTTTATCCACATGTATAAGTAAATGTTTTGAGAATGGTTAACTAATGATGAATCAAAAATTAATAATAAATAAAATAGAATAAATAAGTTACGAGAATAAATGAGTGCATTAATGAATCAATGAATAGATAAATAAATAAATAAATAAATAAACTGAAAAAAATGATCAACAAAACCCAAAATGAAATGAATGAACGAATGCATAAGTTGAATAATTCAAGAAAAGTATATAATAAAAGACAAAGTTAGTTGGTCCTTGCATGTGTAAGTATGTGTGTATGTTTTTATGTGTGTGTGTGTGTGCGTTTGTGTGTATGTGTGTGTGTGTGAGTGAGTGTGTGTGAGTGTGTGTGTGTGTGTGTATAAATTTTATCTTTGACTATTTTATGCTAGCAAAAACGATCAGTTAGTTGATGGTGTCACATACACACACACACACACACACACACACACATACACACATAAATATACATACATTTATTCTAGAAGGTAAATAACGGAAGCTTTGCTGATGCTTTTGCTTCTTCGTCTTCTTCTTCGTTCTCATTGCTGCTAGCATTTGTGCTACTCGTCTCTTCTTGGAGAGTTTTTCAACTCAATCATTCAAATTACTTACTTATTGAATAGATAAATTGTTCACACACACAACTCAGCAATATTTCTTCTCCTTTGCAATTCTTCATTGAAAATGCACAATGGATGGAATTAAATAAGTCAATAATTTTACAAGTAATTTATTAACTAAAGAAGTGTGTAAGTTATTCAATAAATTATTAAATTAGCAAACACGTGAGCAAGTAATTAAATAAATAAGTCTATAAGTACGACCTTTAGCCTATCAGTCATTGCCACATACAGTTTTCATAACTTCACTTACTTTTATTCAATTTGATAATTTATTTAATTGCTTCTTAATTCATTTTATAAATTCTATCATTAATTCAAACTTAATATTCATGATTTTACATAATTTAAATCACAATAAAAAAATATGTGGTGATAATAACGTTGGTAATAAAAATCTTACGTAAAATTCTGAAACAACTTAAGTGCGAACGAGAAAAATAACATCGATGTAATAATTCTTCTCATATGCTCACATAATACATGATAGCAATTAAAAATATCAAATTGATAAATTATAATGCATTTAATCATAAATGAAACATTCATTATTAATGGTATATTGCCTGTGATTAATAACTTCAGACTTTTTTGCATGCATAAAAAAATCTATCAATGTTATTTAATTAAAAATAAATATATTTTAAAATTGCATTATTAAAATATTTTACAATAATTTTGGATACGAATTTGCAATTATTTTGTTTAATGTGTCTGCTTAAATTTCAATTACAACAGCAAACCATAAAAATTACACGAATGTATTGCAGAAAAGAGTCAATAATTATAATTTCTATATTTACTAAATTTAAATTAGTGCATTATATGCTTTAGAAATCATCGACAGTTGATCACAGTACTTATTACTTTCATTGAAATTTGGATGACTATGAGAAAAAATTTTTGGCAATATTATAGGTCAATCTAATTATTTTACTAATAATATTTAAATTTAAAGAAGATTAACATCTAGTCTTTATTCTTCTTTATGCTACAAAGAATTCATCCTTAGTAAATTTGAATAATTTTGAAAGATTTGTGAAAATTCAAAGATCAAATATGTAGAGAAAAGTTTTCGTTTAAACATTCATTTTAAAACAATTAATCATTTTTGTTACACCAAATTAATGGCTCAAAAAGAAAAACACATCCATATCAATTGCTAGTGAATTGAAACTTTTTTTCTCCAAATTTTCATCAAAAATATATAGCAGTTAAGGAAGAAGCATTAATTTATCAATTATTCAAGTCAGTGCCAATCACTGAATATTCAAATAAGTAATACTTATAACTCATAAAATATTTTTCTTACCAACGTTGAACTAATTGATAAATTTTCATTGCTGAAGATTTCGCTTGTTCTAACAGGTATGATAAAGAGGTAATTTAACAATGAAGTTATCAACAGTATTAATAAGACAGTTAAATAACTTGCAAATTTTTAAATAATCAAATAAAATCAATAGTTTTATAGCTATCAATCACATAAATGCCAAAAGTATTTGAATAAAAATAAAACCAAGTTGAAATTTTGAATTCCAATAAGGGAGAATATTTAAATTCAATAAGTACGAAAATGATAGTAATTTCTTTTTTTATTTTTTGTTAAATATATGAAAAAAATAGAATAATGGAAAAATATGTTTTTGAAGAGTTTAGAGTGAAAAATGATTTATAAAGTTAATAATTATCCATAACAATTCAACAAATGTGTATCAATCATTGAACTGATTAGTTGAAATTTCTTCAATTCACTTGCCAGTTTTTTAAAAACAATGGCCAAATTATTTGAATCAAAAAATAATAATTTGAAAATTAGATAAACTAACGTAGTATTGTAATCAGCATAGACAACATCGTAATCACCAGCTGGTTCAATGAATAAATCATCGTATGGCTTTGGAACCATATTTGGATTAGATTCTTCAATTCCTTCTTTTATTGATGTTCTAATTCTTGAATCTTCTTGCTTGTATTTTTTTCCGCGATTCAGTTCATTTGAGTACTGTGCTGATGCTGCAGTATAAATATAAATAAGTGCTCATTTCAAATTTAGTAAATTTATCTATCAAGCATCAATTTTGATCCAAAAAACAAAACGAATCAATCATTTTATGGAAGGCTTTGCTAATACTAGTAAATTCAGGTATGAAAAAGAATTACTTATTATCAGTTATTATTGATGATAACCTTTAGCCTTTAATAAATAAGCATGAAAATATAAAAACTGAATAAAATAACTTGCAACGTTTGATTTATAGTCGTAAAAAGAAATATTTGTGATTAAGAAATTCAACAAAACTCATTTCCTTTTCGAACAAATTAAATTTTTTTTAATACAGAGAATTTAGTGCTCTTTCACGCAACAATTATTTTTTCATTTTAGAAGTGAAATAAGACTTGTTTAGATATATAGAATGCTTTTTCATTCAGAAACAGTGTTGGTAATTTTGTTTGGTAAAGTATGCCAGTAAAAAAAATAACTGAAAAGAAATTTAATAAAAATTTTTATAGGAAAATTGATAATATGAATGAGAAAAAGATATCAAAATCTAGTAGTATTGGTATTTGTAAAATTATTTGACGAAGAACAACTAATAAGCTCTTCTCTTATATTTTTTATAATCTTATACAGTATTTTCACAATCCATTTAATTACTATTAATTATATTTGCTGACACAATAATGATTAATTTTTGCTGCAACTTTTTGATATGATAAATTATTATCATTTTCAATGCGTTAATCATAAAAACATACTTTTTCTCGATACTTAGAAACAGAAATGAATAGAAACATGAAATGACACATTAACTAATAGAAGCAGAAAATCACAGAAAAATTTTGGTCATTCATTTCTTCATTTACTTCAAAACAAACTGCAAATTAACTTTCAATACATATGTAGAAAAAAAATTAATGAAATGATTCACAGAATAAGTTCAAATTTTAGAAATCATAAGTAAATGTAGTATTAATAGTGATGATAATATTCAATGTGTTACTTGATATTATTTTGGAAAAATTTTTCTTTTTGGAATAGAAAATATATATAAGAATTTGAAGAGTAAAAATATTATGGTAACAAAAAGTACAATAACGGTGATTATAAAGCGCTGACAATAAATATATTAATAATCAGAACAATAATAATAGTCAAATACATCTGAATATAAAGAAAAATAAAGAAACTAAACTTATTATAATATGTTGTCATAACTAACTTTAAACTGTATGAGTAAACTTATATATGTAAAAATAAGTGAAGAGCGCATGATTGGATATAATTTTTAAAGAATCTAAAAAGTTAGCAAATTCTATTAGTGTGAAATAAATTTTATAACATAAGATAGAAACTAGTCCGAAATTTCTTTTGTGCTATTTGTAAAAATTATTCCTCTCTCTAATGGACTACTAGCAAATAAAAAAACTAAAAATATTATTATTTGATGAAAGCTCTAAGCTACAAGAAGAACTTCTGAAGATCAATTCATAACAAACCATCCCAAATTAAGTAAAAAAATTCAATCGACAGCAAGCAAAATTTTTGTTGATTTCGCCTTAACTTCATTTTAGTATATTATTTACTTTATTTCACTCAACTTAATTGATTTTTGCTGACAAGTTTTTCAGTATGTTTCTTTCTAATTACTACAAAATTTTTCTTTTCAAATTTAAATTTAAATTTCTTTTCCTCAGTTTTAATATTGTATTTGTGTCTTTCAAAGCATAGAGTGTGTCAAGTATATACAAATATATTCTTTAGTTTATCCAATATTGTTTACCTTAGATTGATTTCCTGATACTTTTTTCCTTGTTTTTAGTCCAAATAATAATGTGCAAACTACTTATTACTGATGTAATAAAATTAATCTTCAACATTAATTTCGTTTAAATAATTCACTTCTAAATTTAAATTTAAAATGTGTACTTTTTGATATTTTTAATAGAAAAATAAGCTATCATATAATAATTTAAAATAAAAGATCATTTCACCTAATAATTATTAATAAGAGTGAAACTAAATATGGCGATAAAAATATGATACAATAATAATGGTAATGATAACAGAATATCGAATTAGATGATAACAATTTAAATAAATGTGATCGACTTGAAGGTTTCTTTTTTTGCAAGCAGCGAATATATAAATGGATGAATGGATAAATGAATATATGAAATTCGGTAAATGGAAGAGGACAATTAGCGACCCTTCGGTTAAAGTGGTTGCTTGATTCTAAGTACCTGAATCGAGTTTCGTCTCAACCTTCAGGCCAAAATCATCAATGTTTTGTGCCTGCTGTTTGAGCTTCCTGTCATTTACATTATGTATAACAGTTTATCTTCAGAAAACATTTTGTCCATGATTTTTATTGCTTCATTTAAGATATTTCAATATTATGAAAAAAAATTACACTTTTTATGCAAATAAAATGCTTTTTATTAATTTAAATCGATTTTCATTAATTAAAATTTATTTGACATGTTTTTCATTCTTTTTAATTTCACATTTCATTATTAAAAACACCCTTTACTTCTTTAAAAATTCAAAATCATATTCATTTTTACTTTATTCAGATAAAATCAAAATTTTTCTGTAATATCTTTTTTGCCCAGTAAATAATCAAAAAATTATCATTTTCAAAGCAAAATGTTTTTTTTAATTTATTTTCTAATACGTTATTATTTTCATGTACACTAATCATTTGCAATTTAATTGCGTTCTATCAATTCCAGTTATATCAACAATTTTGTATATATCCATGCAAAGAATAATTAAAAGTTAACAAAATACAGAAAGTGATGAGTAAGTGATAAAAACGTTGATGATAATGAAAGTTATCTTAGTAAAGTATGCTTTATATTAAAAATAATAATAATTACGCAATAATAATTACATAAGCATTAATAACGACAAAGTATAATAATAACAATTATTTATGATAGTAAATTAAATGAAATAATTTACCACTTTTGTTATTCTTTAAAACATAATATATGCACTGGCAAATTTTTAATTCCATCAAGAAAGTAACGCAGTAATTACAAAAAAAAAAATCATTATAGCAAAATTAATTATATTCAGGCCAATTTATTGCTTCATTTATCATAAAAGATAAACGCTATAAATTTATTTTCAGAATCAAACTAATTGACTAATAAACTCTAAAATAAAACTTGCATTACATTAATCTCTAAATAAACTATGATCATCCACTAATCATTATGATTATCATCATACAACAAAACTTATTTCTTATACTGACTGAACACACAGTCTGTCCTTCTTTGTTCTTCATATGCACTAACCTCAGCAATTTTCGCAATTTAAAAAAATGGATAAGATTTTAGTCAGAAAATGGCATTTGACAAAAAAGTCAAAATTTATTACTTAGAAAGAATTAAAATTTTATAACATTTCGAAAATTTTCTACTACATTTTAGCAATAAAACTTATTTTTTGCATAAAAAATCTATTGTTATACGAATAAATTGTTCTAAAAAAGCAAAATATTGAAATGACTGAACAATAATGGCTTGATACTTAATTAAGCAGCTTCTAACTAACAATCTGATTTCTATTTAATAGCAAAAAAAGTGTAAAAATGATATAAATGTATGTGTTATTATATATACGTTCATGTATTTATGTCTGAAAAAATATGTTTGGTACGGTAAAATATACTTTTATTTTGTATAAGCAAAATAGGAAAAAATTAATATTGGCTAAAACCGAAGAATTAAGCAAGTTTAGGCTCAGCTCTCAGCTATGAAGCTATTAGACCCTTCATTCACTTATAAGTACCATTCGTCAGCAAAAAGGTCAGAATAAAAATCTACTCATTAAGAACAAAAATCACACACTTTCATGAGACATTTTATGAAGTATTTTTAATTTTTAGTTCATATTTAATTAATTTTTTACTCAATAAAAAAATAAAAACTGATCAAACTACAAACAAATGTATACATAAATTCGCAACATTTGTGAAAAAGGAATGAGTCAGTTTACAAACTGATACATTACAAAACAAATCCTTGAAAAATTCTCAGATCATAAACAAAAATGGCATTAATGAATGGTAAAAATAATCCACAATCAACGAATAAAAATTTATTGTGAGATGTAAAGAATTTCAAAAAATTACTCTGAAAAAAGTATTGCTATTTTTTCTATTTAATAAAAAATCGTATATGTTTACTTTTTTTCTCATTAACACAAAACATAAAGATAAACACAAAGCAAAATCTGACTACAATAAATGAATATTTTATTATTTATATAATTTTAGTAAAATGGAAACTTCTTAATAACAGCAGCAGTAGTAGCAATTATTTCTTCAAAATATAGTATGTGATGGATATAATCGAAGATGAATTGGAATGAATTGAATTGCATGACCATTTATGATCAGAAAATTCTTTGAAAAAAGTATGCATGCATAAAATATAAAAGTTTAGAATTATTTTAGAAAAAGTATTCAAGCAGTGAAATTATCTATTACTAAACGTTTTATGCTTTCAACAGTCACTAAATGGCAATTCTATCTTTTCATAAAAACTATTCAAATAGTAAAAGTTATTCTAAAAAAGTCAAGACAACTACCTACTAGTTGATGTTTTCAAGCACTACATCTTTTACATTCTCTTAAATTATAATTTTTGATTTTCACATTTAAAAAGCAAAAATAGTTAAATAGTAACACAAATCTTGGTAATATTTTGTAAATTTATAATAAAATAGTGCAGATAAAAAATGACTTGTTTGAATACCATTTTATTAAAAGTTTTAATAATATTTTTAATGCAGTATACATTAATTAAATACAAATCTTGATAATATTTTGTAAATTTATAATAAAATAGTGCAGATAAAAAATGACTTGTTTGAATACCATTTTATTAAAAGTTTTAATAATATTTTTAATGCAGTATGCATTGATATGAATGATGTAAATTTCGAGCATGCAAATTACTTGCTTAAAAACAGAAGATGTAGGCTTATTGTCTTTTTAATTAAAAATATATGCTTTTGTAGTTGGAAACATGGAAAGAATAATACTTGTTAAAGGTCTTCAGCACTTAATGAAATAGACTTGAAAACAAGCGGTGAAAAATGATGAAGCCATCTGTTTCCAGAAGTAAGATAATTAAGTTTATTATTAAAATGAATAAAATTATGTCTTTTTTTGCACCTGGCAATTTATGCTAGGTAAACAATCATAAAATAAAAGTTGTGATTTAGCAATCATCTTTACTGAATTGCTAACATTTTCTAAATGATTAAATGGCAATAAATATTTATAAAATGCAATAATATAAATTAAAAGTTTCAACTACTGTTTCAAATTATTTGCATAATTATTTTAATTATTATCAAAGTTTCGAATACAACTATCATTTATTATCATTATTTTTTTGCTCTAATCAATATCCAAAATAATTGGTTTAGATTGCAAATTTCATTAAACTTTCATAAAATTAATCATGATTCAATATAAAGCAGAATAAATCGAAAGAAAGTAAAATATATTAAATTAAATGATCCATTTGACTTGCTGGTGGCATTCAACTAAAAGCTTTTTACTTGCAAATTCTATAGCAAAATACTAAAAAAATAAAGTAAATAGTTGGAAATAACTGAAAATGGTAGTAAGTCAAACTAGCCAAAAAGTAATGGATGAATTATTCAGAATGTTTAATTGACCAGAAGGTTTCTAACGTGAAGGTCACAGCGATTTTCCGCTTCATCCATCTATTGGAATTTTACTTTTCAGTCACTAACTATTACGATATATTATATTATTCTTTAGAAAAGTTTTATCAATAAAGTTATCTATTTGATTATTATATCTTTAAGCAACACTGATTCAGCGAAATTTATTAGTCGACTTATTAATTTAACAATTATCAAGCAATTATTTTCAAAAGTCAAGGTAGATCTGCTTAATACCTGGCACTAATTTTTTCTATTAAGTAATTTTGTACAGCGCAAAAATTAAGTTTGCTAAATGCTATATGACTCAAAAATAATGATGTTGTAGAAGCACTATTGTTACATAATTTGGAATCAGTAAGTAGTAATAACAATTTAGAACAATAATACTGTTTATTTATTTTACAAGTTTTACAGAAGTTATTATTTAAATTCAGTAAGTCAATTTTCGACTTACACTGTCTGAAATTAGGAAAATTTAAGTTATTGTTGAAAATGACTATTTTCTAATTTTACTCAACTTTCAGCTGATGAATAAGATAACTTGAAATATAATTATCAACTTGGAATTACAACTTGTTGGGTAGTTTTTTGTAATTAAAAAAATTCATTTCACTGTTTTCATATGTAATCACAAAATGATCTGAATTGCAGTAATTACTTTAATAACATAAACTAAACAATTTCTTAATATGTTTAATGTTAAAAACTGCAAAAAAATTTTACTCATTCAACTGTAAATAACCACTTTTACTGATCCTATGAATTAATTTAACAAGATAAATCAGAAATTAAACAAACAAATGTGATAAAATCAACATGAAAATGATCATATTCAAAATACAATGAAAAGTGAAAGAATTGTTAAATAATAGAAGAATCTTAGCCTTATCCCAACTACATCAAACTTTAGAACTGAAATATGATATCTTTCATTTTCACAATTGAATATTATTATTACACTGAAAAGTTTTAAGTTGCGGTTGTTGACGAAAATTCTTGATGTTATTCAACTTCTACCTTGATGAAGCTGAATTGTTCCAAAGGAATACGTTTTTTTTTTTAATAAAAGTAAACAAAATTCCACCTATCATCATAATTAATTAAATTTGAATTTGAAGTAGTTATTATAAGATTTTGAATATATTGGACCAAAAATTTTATACTCAAGGAATACAATTTGGAATTTTTGAAATATGATATTCATTTCAAAAAAATATGATATGTATTTGCACAAATAGTTATCACAATAAGATATTTGGAAAAAAAAGCAACGATGATTTGACTGCTAAACGAAAAATTGAAAGTAAAAGTAAAATAGAACGAAAAAGAATCAAACATATGTACAATTGTTAAATTCTAAGAATTATTTGAATCGTAAATTTTGCTCTGTACGCTTAAGCTATTTTATATCAGTGCTAATTTTGGTACAAACTTGATCAAAAAAAGAAAGAAAAAATGCGTTCATTTTGAATTTGAAATAAAAGTTTTTAAGAAAAGTGTTCATTAGGTATATTTTATTATTTCAGTGTGGCTGAAAATAAAAAATATTTTATGGATTTTTCGTAAAATTTTAACAAATTAAATTAACTCATAACACAAGGACCAATGGTGAAAAAAAAAGCATTCTGCTAGGCTACTAAATACAATAAATGATTATTGAAAGAAAAAATTGGTTAGTAGACAATTCATGGCTCATTTTAAACATTTATTTGGGATAGCGTCTAAAAATTAAATTAATTTACCAAAACTCGGCAAAAAAAGCTTCATATTTTCAGCTTCCTTTTCTTTTTTTACAACACTTTTATAACTTTTTGCATATTTTTACTTCAGAAATGAAAATAGTGAAATAAAACAGTGAAATGAAAATTTCGCTTTTGTAACTTATGTGAAAATTTGAAAGATTCATAACAAAAAATTTATATTCAAAAAAAGTTTTCAACAAAATGCATTGCCATAGTGAGTTTATGGCAAGAAAGGAAATCTATTTTACAAGTTTCATAAAAATATAGCTTTTTTTTGCTGTTAAATAAACATTACTACTTTAAATTAAAAAATTTTGCAGCAGATGATAGATATCCGTTTAAGGACAAAATGCATATTCTTTTGAAAGTTATCATTAATATGAGGCAATTTTTTTCACTACATTTAAATTGAACGGATATCTTAATGAAAATAAGAAGTAATAAAAATAGCCTTTAATGAAAATTTTACTTCTTTGATAAAAATAAAAGTAATAAAATAAAAGTGAATGATATCTTCAGAAAATTTACTGCATATTAAAAACATATTGACTTTTACAAAATGAAAATATATGTGGTCGATAGATAAATATGTGCTCAATAGACAAATATGTGGTCAATTGATAAGTATGTGGTCAATAGGTAAATATGTGGTCAATTTTAAAAAGTTTTGAGAATGAAATAATGCAGTAATAATTGTAAATATCAAACTTCTGATTGGAATGAATAAAAAATTAATAAATTTATAATTATGATTGTACCAGAAGAATTTGCAAGAAACAAATAATACTCGTTATCAATATACATTTACTTATTACAATGTTAACAGTTACTAACTTAATTGTCAACACTAATTATCTATTTGATTACATCGTCTAGCTAGTCTGTGAATTATCTTAACTTTTTCGTTTGCATAACATTAACATAAGTGCTATTTATCATTTACAAAATCTTCAGTTCATTTCAATATTTACATTTGTGATCTCTTAACCTTTGCACTGAATTCACGCTTTAAGTTTTCTGAATAATTTTGCAATGTTTTACATTATTATACACAAAATTTAACTAATAAGAAGCAAAGCACATTGGAAAACCAAAAGGATATGCATTAAATATCGAATTAATGCATATTCAATTAAAATATATAATGAAGCTGATTTTCGATAGCAAAAGCTCGTAAATTTTAAAAAGCAGGTGAACAAACGATTATCCACACAATAAATTATGATATATTTAGTATAAAGCAGAAAAAAAAAGCCCTCCTTTCAAAAAATTCTTATTTACAATACATTACTTATAGTTTTTGCAAAAATTTAATGATTTTTTTGTAGTAAAAAGGCTGATGAAAAAAATTTTGCTTGAATTTGCTTGTACACTGAAGCATACATTGAAAGAAAAAAATGTAACACAGCTACTAGAGGGGAAAGTATCAAATTACTTTACACGAATGTAACCTCTTGCAGAGTTAACCCTGACAGTTGTCAATGTACTGGTAGACACCAGAAAACAATGCGTACACATAATATACCTATCTTTCCACATGTAAGCTAATGCCAAAATAAATTATTTAGCAGAATTTGGTTCAAGAATTTTTCTTAAAAAAATTATAAATTCGTAACTAATTAAATTCATACTTAATGTTTATCAGACTACTTATTTATTTTAATCGAAAATTTATGCATGTATTTATCTTTTGATCTGTGTGGCATTTACTATTTATACTTCTCACCGCACTTTCATTTCATTTATATTGTCATTTACATTCCTACTTTATTTGATAGATAAATTTTTAGCTTTGTTTCAGATGGAAATAAAACTTTTCATGTTTACTTATTTAACGTCTGAAACTAAGAACAAAACAAAACATAGCACAAATAATAAAGTGGAACTTTCTTTTTTTCAAATAAAAAATAATATAATTTTCAAAGATAATAAAAAGAGTAAAAATATGTAACAAATATCATTAAGTGCAATTACGCACACGTGATCAAATGAAATTTAGCTTCCGTAACAAAATAAGCTGTGTTGAAAAAAAGAATGAAATATGTAAAACAATTTGAAAAGCTTAGAAAAGTTATTAGTTTTCAAGGAAGTAAGTGCCAATCATATCATAAAAGTTATTGAGATAATAGCTGAAATTTATATTTCCTGAAAAGTATGCTTGGCTTCGAAGCAAAAGTGAAATGAAATGAAATCTGCGCCATTTGCTCAAAATCCTTCTTTTACTTTACATTTTTATATATTATTTTATTGAATTATGCATAGCGTATAAAAACAATTAAAATTTATCAGTTCTAATTATTCTGATCTTACGATATATTTCATGATAACAGTAACAAATATCACATGACTGTGTCATGTGGTATTACTTGAAATTGCAGAAAATAATATAGAAAATAGAGAAAATACTATATTTTAAATATCCTTTTTTTCCTAATGAATATCTGTGCTATAATACATTTATAACAAGTGAACTAAAGAATTTTGAATTTTGTCTTTCAATTCACCAAAATATCTTTATTTTAAATTAAAACTGATAAACAATACCACGATTTACAACAAAAACTTTTTGATTTCTGTTGTTTACTGTTTAAATTATAAAACTAGAAGGGTTTTTTGAAATTCGAATTTTTTCTGACTGTAATCATCAAGCACATGTAATATTTTTGTTCGATTAATAATGCAAAATCAAACAAAAGTGTTAACAGTGTAGCGCTTCTTACCATTATTTGATTTTCATTTTGCATCAATTATTCAACGACAAAATGATGTAAAAAACAAGTTTTAAAACCTGTATGCGAAGTAAGCAAACAGATAATGCTCTAAAATACAATACAAAAGATTAATAAATGTACTATTCTTTTCAAACAGTGAAAAAAGTAAGTTTCAAAGCAACAAAATACAAAAATGAGCAAAAGTAAATACTTTAATTATCGATATCTTCTTAGCTGTCAAAAAATACCAGCTTTTGGCAATATCTTGGGAAAGTTTTTTCGCAAAAAAAATTCAAATGTAAGATATTAAAAATGCATAGTAAGAGATAAATTTTCAGTGACAAATTCTTTTATACTTGATTTCATACTTTATTGGTAAAAATTATCACTGAAAAAAACTTGGATTTAGGTTTATAATTTTTAAAGTACAATTTAATGAATTTCCACTGCTTATATGCAATAAGAATTCCTAAATGTTTGATTGATGCAAGTAATACAGTTCATTCAGTAAATAAAATCAATAAACATATAAATTCATAAATGAAATAAAAAAGTGAAAATTTTGAGTGATTTATAATTGAATGATCCATCAAAATAATTCGTCAAAAAATGATTGTTTATTTTATCCAAGAAAGTTAAAGTCACGTGAAAGAAATGAATTAATCCATTTTTATAATCCAGACATGACAGATCGAAATGTAAATACTCTTTATAAATAATTCATATTTTGAAAAGGGATAAGAAATGGTGCTAAAAAAAATGGAAGATTGAGAAATCAAACTTAAAAAGATTAATAAAAAAAATTAAGAATTATGTTTCAAATAATGAAGAATTAATTGCGCAACTTTTTTAATTTCATGCATTGCAAAAATTACACTTGAAGTGTGACGTAAGGGTGAATATTCGTCATTTACAAAATGAATTTCTAGACGAAATTCATTAACTTTGGTTTTAATCAAAAGAATAATTAGATTTAAATACATCGGTAATCATTTCTCGAGAGCATTAAAGATGCTTCAGATACACCTCTTCTCAATTTATAATAAGCATGTTTAAAAAAATGGTATTAAAAGTTGCTTTATTTTTATACTTACCAACATTAGGCTAATAACGAATGCCAAACACTAAAATTTAACATAAAGCATCATAAGTGTACTACAGATTAATTTATTGCTTAATTTATTATGGGAAGAGAATTTTTGTAAATGTTACTCTTAAACATTGATAATAGCTTAAATGAATGCTAGTAAAAATGATTTATAATTTGATAAAATCAAAAAAGAAACATAAATAAAGTTTATTTTGATCAGTAGTGAAGCAATACCAAGCAATTAATTAAGTCATGAAGTCATATTTTTCTAATTTAAATTTACTTCGACCCGAATCTAAAAAATTACTTCATTAATAATTTGAAAATCAAGCAATTAAATGAAAATAAAAACTGGAAAAATTTTACAATTGATAATTTTTCGTTCCTGAAAAAGAATTTAATGGTAAAAAATAAAGAAAATGTATTTTTACTACTTCAATACAAAAAATTTATATTATAGCAAGATGAATTAAAATAGACGCATTATTAATTGTAAAATGAGACCAAACTAAATGCTAAAAAAACATAACATATGTACAAGATAAAATTAGAATAATTTAAATAGTAGCCTAGTTTTCATGTCCACATCTGAAAATATTTGTAGAGGATATCAAAAGTATACTCACCTTATGTATACAACACCATACAATAATAGATGAATAATTTAGTAGTAAGTAGTCGTATTTGCTTTACCCATATGAGTACATAATAAATACTCTATAATGTTTACCTTTCTTCTACATTCTTCTCATATGAAATTTTCTATTAAGCAAGTGTGAAAGACATCCATTAAAGTGATGTAGTATTGACATTACTACTACTACTTACCTTATTCATTCTGCATATTTTTAATAAAGGTTAGAAACTGGACTTTACTTTTTTACTTACCAGCAAAAGAAATATATCATGAATACAATAAATTTATTTCATATTTAAATTCAAAATTTGATAGTACGTAAAATTTACTATTTATACAGTTGAAAATTATTATTGTAAACATAAATTCATTTATCATTAATGATATTAAACTTTTAATTTTGAAAAAATTAAGCCAAAATTGCTCGCTATCTACTTTGAATATTTGCTATTTTTGTTGTTTACTTTATTCAAGGCTTATTAAATGCATCAATCATACTCTAAGTCACATTTTTATAGCATCAAGCATCAAAATGTTAGCATAATCATTAAACTTTAATTTTACACTTCGAACTACAAATATTTATGAAAATACAAAAGGACTGCCGGACAAAAATTTAAAAAAAAATTAAACAGCAAAAGTTTTAAAATTAGTGTTATCCTCATAAATAGCATTCAATAATAACTGAAAATTGAATTAGAATTAATGATAATCCATTAGCGTGTTACAATATTTTTTCTTTGTCATACTATTACACTACTAACACTATTACTATTACTTTTTCAAACTAATTACAGCAGAAATTTCAAACTATCAAAAATTATTTTTTAAATAGTTTTATTCTGTTACCATATCATTTATCACAACAAATATCAAAATATAAAAAAATAGGCACTAACCAATTTTAAGTATGCAATATTAGGGATATGAATAAATTAATGAAATAATTTCTGTTTTTATCATACAAACTATACGACAAAAAAATAATGAAAAGGTATGAATATGAAATATGAATGTAAATGGGATGAAAAATATGATTATTCTTGTCTACAAAAAAGCTATGAAGTGGTCAAAATTAGCAATAGTAACAAACAACCTGTAATTACTTGGCCATCTGTCAAAATGTAAGATAATAAGCAATTACGCATTTCTGAAACAAAATTAATGGATATCCTGCTGTGTGTATACTGTTGAAATAGTTTTTGCTAGCAACAAGTAATTTATGTATGCATCGAAAACAATCTAATATCTAACAAAATCAATCAAAAAACATAACTGTTATAAATTTTATCAAAATTCTTGTATTAATGTGATTTTTTACAAAAGCTATTCAAACTTATGTATGTATGTTCATTTCAAATTCATGATTAATTACATAGGTACTAAATAATTTTTGCAACAATTTTATCACAAAATAATTTCATATCTAAAATTTAAAAGCAAACTTTCATAATAAATAAATCACTTTTAAAATCTGATCTACTTTACAAGCTAAAATATTTGGAAACTACTAGCATGTACCATCATATTAAGTGCTAAAATAGAGAAAGATTTTCATAAAATCTTTTTCATACTGAATTATTAATGCTTCGATTTTCAGCAAATTCATTATTGATATTTTTTTTCGCTTGCAAAAACATGTACAGGAGTTATTTCACAAATATTTCTCATTTTATTTACACTTAATTTCTGACATTATCATTTCATTTACAAACCAGTTAAACATGACTGATTTCTGAACATAAAAACAATTTGACTGCTTGAGCTGAATTCTAATTATGACTTCCTTTTGCATAAAAAAAATGAACTGCACGTTTATTTTTTCCAATTTCAAAATAACTGAAAAATAATCCGAAAGTTCA